ATCCACCGAACCCAGCCCTAGACGATATTCTTAATAGAAATATTTAAGAAAGGTGGAAGAGAACATGTGGTGACTTGGGGTGACAAAAGAACATACTAGTGAAAATGTGGCACCAGGTTTCTGAAGAGATTGGCACTCAGAGCTGTGCATTAGGAAATCATGTTGCCACAGAGGTGGTAACTGAAGCCTTGGGATTTTGAAGAACATGCTTACACGCTATATAAAAACTGAAAAAGTAGGTGGGGGATAAATGTGTGCCTTGAATTGTTTAAGAATGAGTTTACAAAAAGACAAAGTGCTTTTGTTCAAGAGTCAGTATTTCACAGTTTTCCAGCTCATGGAAAAGACTGAAATAAATAGAAAAACGAATCTAGAAAGAAGTACTCCTTATTCTCTTGAGTACTCTTTGAAGATGCGTAAAATAGTCTATCTAAGAACACTCTAACACCTTAATGTATACTTTAAAATTTTAATCTATGCTGATTAGAAACACATTCACACTGGAACCTCCCCACTGCGCCCCCCCCCCACACTGTAGTAAATGCTGTATTTTGAAGTTTCCTTGAGGGCCAAGGGTTTTTATTTTTAGACCAGAAGACATGAAAACTCTCAAGAAGAAAATGAAGTGCAGCCACACATTTGGCCATATAAAACAGTGTCAACAGTTTTCCTATTAAGAACTGCTGTCAGGAAAACCAAATCCCACATGTTCTTACTTATAAGTGGGCACTAACGATTGGGTACATATGGACATAAAGATGGGAACAACAGACACTGGGGTCTATTGGAGTAGGGAGAGAGGGGCAAGGGCTGAAAAACTACCAACTGCGTATTATGCTCACTATCTGGGTGATGGGATCATTCAAACCGCAAACCCTCAGTATCATGCAATATACCTATGTAAGAAATCTGCACATGTACCCCCTGAATCTAAAATAAAAGTTGAAATTATTTTTAAAAATTGGGGAGACATCCATTTTTCTGGATGAGAAGACTCCGTGTTAGAAAAAAATGCCCAAATTAATCTATATATAGTCTTCTGTCCCACAAAAAAAGCTGGATTTCACTTGAAGCGTTTCTAAATTTCTAGAAGAATAAAAGCAGAAACACTAAAAAAAATAGCTGTTAGGATATCTTCCCCTCAACTCTCCAAATTAAAAACACTTGTATCATTTCACAAGGCTTTGCTTATGGTGTTAAAGGCTAGGTGTTCACTTAAAAAATCTCTGAGATGCTAAAATTCAAATAACTAGACAAATCACTTCAACTATCCCTGGTTAAGATACATACATTGGTAATGTACACCTGTAACTAAGGAGTATATTCATAGCTCCAACAGGGAATCTAAAGGTAGCCTAAGGTGAAGGGAAAGATCAAGGGTCCAGTACTGGTATTTAATTCTTCTCCTTGTTTTATTCCCAAGGATCTGATTGGAAATATTCGTGTATGTGCATGCACACATACACACACAATTCAGTTAGTTAGATATTTATCTTATCCATGGATTAAAATTATAGAAATCTTGTACTTTGGAGGGTATATCTTATCAACCTATTATAATTCTGTGTTTATTCCTTTTACTCTCCTTTAAATATTTTCCAAATTTTTTTCAACTTTTAACTATACAATCTATTTACGTCCTCAAGAGTAGTTAAATAAACAAATGATAATGTTGGTTTAAGAAACATAATAAAAACTACCCACAAACCCACCACTAGTAGAAAAACACTGTTTACTAATTGGTGCTCTTGAACTCGGATTTACATTCTGTATCTACAAATATAAAAGCATGTAGGTATATATATTTAAAGAAATATAATGTTAATCCTATATACTTATCTCACAGATATGATATATAAGATTTTATACATATGAGATATAAAAAATATGTAAGTATGTAGGTGTATATTTTTATGATTTTGATTTTTTACCTTTTGTGTTCATCTTTATTGGCTTCTTTTTGTTTTGGCATTTATGCTGTTTCTATCTTTTGGCTATTGTCCTAAAGTTAACTGTTATGTCAGAGTTTAAATTTTTTTTTTTTTTGGAGACGGAGTTTCACTCTTTGTTGCCCAGGTTGGAGTGCACTGGTGTGATCTCGGCTCACAGCAACCTCTGCCTCCTAGGTTCAAGTGATTCTCCTGCCTCAGCCTCCTGAGTAGCTGGGATTACAGGAATGCTCCACCACCCCGGCTAATTTTTTTATTTTTAGTAGAGACGGGGTTTCTCCATGTTGATCAGGCTGATCTTGAACTCCCGAACTCAGGTGATCCGCCTACCTCTGCCTCCCAAAGCTCTGGGATTACAGGCTTGAGCCACTGTGCCGGGCAGCAGAGTTTGAAAATTTTTATCTTCTTTGACCACTCTTAAAAAATTTTATCTTAGGTTTTATATATTTGATGTTAACATTATTATAAGTTTCTCCTTTAAATTTCTTCATTCCTATTTTGGTTCTAGAGTTTTAATAATTTTGTTCCTTTTATCTGTTCGTGCTCTCTAAATTCATTACCACTTTTATTGGTTAATTTATAAGTTTCAATGCACCATATTTTTTGAAACTATATGATTCCATTTATATGACCTTCTGGAAAAGGCAAAACTTTATGGGTAGAAAAGAGACTGGTGGTTGCCAGGGCTTAGGATAGGGGTCAGGAGAAGGGACTTGACTGCAAAGGGTCATATGGGTACTTTCTGAAGTGATGGAAATATTCTACATATTGACATAGGCTATGCCTTGGTCCTGCAATAGAAGACCTCCAACCAACACCAGCAGGTGTATTCCAGTCTCATCCTCAGGTTGTCCAGCTAAAAGGCGAGTGATCTGCAGGTGCTAATATAAGTGCAATGCTATAGGAGCTCCTGTAGCATCTTTGCAAAGATGTAGAGACCAACTGTGTACAGTTCATCTTCCAGTTCACAATAAAGCATTGGTCTTTCCAAGTGACCTTGAATCTTAATCTGTGCACTATTCTGGCTTAGAGACATGGATATCCCAGTGATACCAGGTTCCTATAGCTTTTCTTTTCTTTTCTTTTTTGAGACAGAGTCTTGCTCTGTTGGCCAGGCTGGAGTGCAGTGGCATGATCTTGGCTCGCTGCAACCTCCACCTCCTAGGCTCAAGCAATTCTCCTTCCTCAGCCTCCCAAGTAGCTGGGATTACAGGTGTGTCACCACGCCCAGCTAATTTTGGAATTTTTAGTAGAGACAGGGTTTCACCATGTTGGTCATGCTGGTCTTGAACTCCTAACCTCAGGTAATCCGCCTGCCTTGGCCTCCCATCCTATAGTTTTTCAACACCAAACCTCTGTGTATAGTCTCAGAGAGGTCCAGATATTCTCACATGTCCTAAGAGAAATCTACAGCCACATCCCTGAACTTCACTGATCCAGGGTCAATCTTCCTCAGCATTTTCTTCTGGAAAAACACAGTCTACCTTGATTTTTACATGTGCAACAATTCTTCTTTCACAAGATAACTCTTTTGGGGAGGGGCAGAATGCATGAAGCCCAATAGGTACACAAGCACTAAGTGGTCCCAGAGCCATTGTATTAACTTGTTTCATCTCTCTTTTAATTCTTTGTTCTCTACTATAAAATGGAGAACAGGGAAAAATTCCTTGTTCTGTATACTGTGAAAAGCAAACAGGGAGATACAGATGACCACAGCAATGACCTTTGTTGAGAAAAGCCACATATAAACCAAAAAAATGGGTATTGTCTTTGTTCCATCTTGCATCTGCCCACAAACTTCCCTGAATAGAAGAAGGCTGTTTTCCTAAAATATCTCAATCTGGGTAACTCTGTAGAACCAGTCTAAAATGCTTTCCTCAGACAACAATGATACTATTTCTACAAATCTTAGTATATGGTAGCCACTAGCCATATGTGGTTATTAGGCACTTAAAACATGGCTAGTCAAATTGGGATGTGCCGTAACTTTAAACTCTGTTTTTTGATGACTTAGTATGAAGAAGGAAAGTAAGGTAACTCATTCATAATGTTAAAACATTAAATACATGTTTTAATTATAATATTTGGTTATACTGCACTAAATAAAACATATTACTAAAATGAATTTTACCTGTTTCCTTTTATATTTTTTAATGTGGCTACTAGAAAATTTAAAATTAAATACGCGGCTCACGTTAAATTTCTATTTGACAGCTCTGGAATAGATAATATATTTGAATTCCTTAACAAACCAACCCTGAATATCATGCATTCCTCTTGTTATTTTATTTAAACTGGTTTATGTTCTATACTCATAATCTCTGACAAAATCAACCACTGGGCTCCACACCCAGGGAACTGCCCCTTACAACTTGCATTAAAGGAGACATCACTGGAAGTTCCACTATCTGGATCCCGAAATGCTTATTGCCCCGGCTTGAACCTAACTTGGGTTCATTCTCAGCACGATCATGTGAGGATTCTCTCAGTTTATGGGTCTTCCTAGAATCTTCTCCCCACTATTACAAGGATCACTGAAAAGCTCAGTAGGTTTGAAATTGTGTCTTTTGGGTTTTAGAAAATGGAAAAGTCCATAAATATACTCACTAATTTGCTATTTAATTCATGCTATACTACAACAACAGAGGCTTATGGTAGAAAAGCAGCTCTAATTTTCTTCATGACTTCTAACTACAGAAGACACATACAGTCAATTATAACAAAAATCAGTCTTTTCATAAGTTCAGTTATTCCAAGAACTAATTTTTTAACCAAAACAAGCATTAGACATTAATATAGATTCACCTGGATAAATGAAAGAGAACACTAGATTCATACTCTGCTGAACCATACTTAATCATTCTCAAAAGAGAGATTGCCTCTTTAATCAGGATTACAAATTTGACACAGTATATAAAGTTTATTTTTTCAAAGACCTTACGCTTGAATTTCATACTCTAAAAGATACGTTAACCATCTAAGGCACAAGCACAGAATATCTGGCAGAATAAAAAAACCATATACACAGCACAGAAATTCCTAAGGTATTACCTGATAGATATCAGATAAACTGCTGCTTCCAGAGTCACTGGCGATGCTACAACCAGACTGACTAGAAGACACATGAGTCACCTGTGGATGAGGGTTGTCTGTGAGATGCATCTTGGTAAGATCAGCTGGAAGCTGAAAAAAAAATAATTTAAGTTATTCTAAATGTCTTTACCTTTTTAAGCGGTTTTGACACGTTAACTTCAACAAATTTTTACGTACATTACTGTGCAATCTCATTTCTAACCCAAGTTCTCCACTTTTAGCAAAAAAGATCTTTTGAAATAAGAACCATATAGTACTCTCTGAAACGATTGGGCAACTCTACAATGGTAAGCTCACTGAACAGTTTTCAAAAGCCATTACTAATGGTATTTCTGAGGAAAAACTTGGACCTTCTATCCTCCCAAATAAAACCATCAGATTGGCTGGGTGCCGTGGCTCAAGCCTGTAATCCCAGCACTTTGGGAGGCCCAGACGGGTGGATCACAAGGTCAGGAGATCAAGACCATCCTGGCTAACACAGTGAAACCCCGTCTCTACTAAAAAATACAAAAAACTAGCCGGGCGAGGTGGCGGGCGCCTGTAGTCCCAGCTACTCGGGAGGCTGAGGCAGGAGAATGGCGTAAACCCGGGAGGCGGAGCTTGCAGTGAGCCGAGATCTGGCCACTGCACTCCAGCCTGGGTGACAGAGCGAGACTCCGTCTCAAAAAAAATAAAATAAAAATAAAAACATCAGATCTGTCCATTTAAGGGTAGGAATGTTACCCTTTAAACACACACACACACACACACACACACACACACACACACTCTCTCTCTCTCTCTCTCTCCCTCTCACCCTCCCTCCTAATAAAAAATGGTGACAAACACAAGAATAAAACAGCAATATCTTGGAATTCAGTTACTGGAAGCAAGACTTAAGACCAGTAACAAATTGATTACATTCAATATTCCAAAAACTTTGTGAGCATCTTTACACTTAATATTGAATTAGCTTCTAGTTGGCCCCTGAGAGATTTCTTAGTAATCAACATGATTTAATGAATGTCTGTACTAGGCGCAGGTATACAAGAAACACAAAAAGTAAGTGACTCCACTACCTCATCTTGAATATGGTCATACTCTTATCAGGTATGCAGGCTGTATAATATATTTCATACCATAAAACAGACATCTCACAAAATAAAAGCTACAGGAATTAAGACAATAAACAAACCATTGCATTCCAGAGTAGTAAAAGTTTTACATAAGAGGTATGTTTATTTATTTTCCAAATGATTTCTCTGCAACTTGCTATTCAGGGCTTTAAAAAAATCAATTTAATTTTAAAAATAGGGTTTCTTATTGCTTTACTACTGAAAAACATTAAAGAAACACACACATAGTGTATATTAAATGTACTGAGGGAATGACTGAGTCTGAATTATATTATCTCAAGAGGAATTAATGTAATTATAAAAATTACACATAAAGTACATCACGAACTTCCCCTGCTGATAACGGTATGTTAGATAATTCAGATGAATCCTAGTACTAAGATAAACAGAAAACCTGAAATACATACATACATATACACACAGAGTATCTGGCCTCTGAGGTTACTTTTTCTCTTAAGAATATTTTCTGATTCCTAAAGAAAAGGCTAAAAGGCCAAGAAGTACCTGTGACAGCCACTGGCTAAAGAGACAAAGGTTAAATTCCAAGGCCTAGGATGGAAGGGCCATCTTTGGACTGGGACCCTGGGGAGTAAATTAGACTCTAGAGTAAAAGTCACCCAAAAGTAAACTGATGCTACTTTTAGAATCACCTCAATGCCTGATGCTAAAATAAGGTTATATAGGATTACTAGTATTTCCAATCAATTGTTGGAAGCAAACACAAATCCTCACTATAGGAAGAAAGTCATCCTAGGTCTCAATTAAAAAATTTTTTTTTTGCATATACAACATCCATTGCTCAGTCCAATAAAACCAGGCATATATGATGAGACAGGACGGTATTGATGAAAAGTACGGAATAAACTCCAGAAACTAACAAAGAAGTTTCAAATAATAGGGTTACCAGACACAGTCTCTAAAATAACTGTGTTTAATATATACCAGGGGTTGGCAAACATTTTCGCTAAGGGCCAAAGAATATATATTTTAGGTTTCACAGGCCGCATACAGTTTCTGCTGTATGCTGCTTTTTCAAAAAAAATCTTTTTAACAACTCTTTAAAAATGTAAAAACCATTCTTAGCTCACAGGTCATATAGCTCACTGGTCAGAATTGGTCCAGTTAGTGATTTATCATATATAGAGAGAAAAATACAAGACTAACAATTTCAGCAAAGAAAGAAAAAGAATTAAATGAAAAATCTAGAACTAAAATATGCAATTATGGAAATTAAAAAGCCAACAAGTGGGCTTAAAAAAAGATCTGACAGAGCTAAAAACAGAATTTAAAAAGTAAAGACTAGTCTCAAAAATATCCAGAATGAAGCATGGAGAGGAAAAAAGGTGAAGTTGGGAGAGAAGGGGTAAGAGCCACAGGAGATTCAGTAAGAACATGACATCTGAATAACCAGAGTCTGAGAAGAGCGAGTACACAGAAGCAAGATGATGGCTAAGCATTTTCCAAAAGTGACAAAAGACCTAATGTCACAGATCAAGAGGTTTAAAAACTCTCAGCAAGATAAAAAAACAAAAAACAAAAACCCACTCCAAAACAAACAAACAATCCCCCCATACCTATTCACACCAGGGTACATGTGTCAGGGGGTGAGGTGGAATACCAAGATAAAAGTTTTAAAGTAGCCAGGAAAAAAACCTGAGAGATTAGATTACTATGGCAGAAGCAAAATTAAGCTGATGGCTGGCTTCTCAACATAAATTCTGGAAGCCAGAGGACAACTGAGTGATATTTCCAAGAGCTAAAATTCTATACCTAGCAAAAACAGTACTCAAAAAACGGGAAAAATAATTTTCAAATAAAGAAAAATGAAGGAAATAATTCCTTAGCAGTCCTACAATGAATAAAATCCACTGGGAGAAGAAAAATGATTCCAGATGGAAGCTTTCAGGCACAAGAAAGAAGAAAAACCAACGAAAATGGGAAATGTGTGGCTAAATCTACATGAATGCTGACTATATAAAATAGTAACATTAATAACCCATGAAGTTTAAAATACAATAATTAAAATACAACAACAGAATGTAAGTCCGGAGAAGGGTAAATGAAGCTATTGAAGTGCTCTCAGTTCCTTGCACTGTCCATGAAGCTGTAGTAGCAGACTAATTTCTGATAATTTCTGATTTAAGAAAAGCACAGTAAAAAACTGTATACCTACCAAGTTAACAGAGGGGAAAATATTAAATAATCAAAGAATGGAAAAATATACACCATGCAAACACAACCAAAAGGAAGCTGATACAGCTTAAAGTACACTTGGTGCAAAAGCATTAGTAGAGCCAATAGGGGACATTTTGTAAGTATGTGAGGTGATGGATGGAGATCTGTATCTATATCTATATCTATATGTATAGATAGATGGACACACACACACACACACATATATACACAGAGAGAGAGAGGGTCTCGCTCTGTCACCTAGGCTGGAGGGCAGTGGCATAATCTCAGCTCACTGCAACCTCTGCCTCCCGGGTTTGAGTGATTCTTTTGCCTCAGCCTCCTGAATAGCTAGGATTACAGATGTATACCACCGTGCCCAGCTAATTTTTGTATTTTTAGTACAGAAGGGGTTTCACCACATTGGCCAGGCTGGTCTCTAGCTCTTGACCTCAAGTAGTCTGCCTGCCTCAGCCTCTAAAAGTGCTGGGATTACAGGTGTGAACCACCATGCCTGGCCAAGGTGATGGATATATTAACTACCTTGATTTGATAGTTTCACAACGTGAACATGTATCAAAACATCACACTGTACCCCACAAATACATCCAATTATTTGTGAATTAAAAATAAATTAAAATTTAAAAATGTATAAGGCAAAAATGTCATTTACAATTATGCTATAAATTTTTAATAGAGATCTCAGTAGCAGTCTGAATAAGCAAAACACACAAAAACAAAACAAGTAAAGATATACAAGAAATGAACAAAATTAACAAATGACCTAAAGAGTATAGACATAGAATAACGGAACCAAAAACTCCAGAACACATTTTCTTTTAGAGCACATATTAAAACATTTGTAAAAATTTACAATAAGGCAAATCTCAACAAATTACAAAAGACTGAAACCAGGGAATATTCAGCAGTAACAGTGCAAATATGGTAGAAATATATAACAAAAAGATAAATAGAAAACTATCATGTTAGAAAATTGTAAATAATCCTCTATTGAAATAGCCCATAAATCAATGAAGTCACATTGGAAATTAGAAAATATTAAAACAGAAAATTAAGATGCCATATATCAAAACCTGTGGGATAAGTTAAAGTCATGCTTAGAGCCATTTATAGCTCTAATAAAAGGCAACAAAAAAAATTAACAAGCTCATAATTCCTTACAATAATGCAGAAATATTTATGAGGGTATGATACAGTTCAAAGACCTTCCTCCCACTTGGTTTCTGTTATTCAGATATGAAAAAAAAACTCATCTGGGGATGAAGTAGTTGGAAAGGCAAACACCGAAAATAGCTTTAAAATGTGTGGTGTTTGGTTGGGGTGTCAGGGGTAGGAGACAGTATATATTGCAAATTCCTACAGAGGTAAGAAGACCAAGGAGAAGAATGTCATTCATAAAAGTAACACAATGAACCAAAGTCAGAAGTCTGCCAAGTGGCTTCATAGTACTGACAATGTACTGAGCAATCTTCACCCTCACTAGAACCTAAAAAGCAGGTGCTATTATTATCTCTATTTTACTGATGAAGAAACAGAGGCAGTACGATTAAGCAACTTGGCCCAGATCATACACTCAAGTAAGCAGTAGAGTTAGGAATCAAACCCACGTCTGACTCTAGCACTTTTCTGTTATATTCTACTTTGTGTCAGGAACTCTGCTGATGACATAAAAATGAAAACATATGGGCCCTGCCTTCAAGGAGTTCAGTCTAATAGTGGACAATGGAGACAGATTTATAAGCAAACAGCATCTGCTTTCTACTTCATGAAGAAAACTTCATA